GAAGGAAGGAAGGAAGGAAGGAAGGAAGGAAGGAAGGAAGGAAGGAAGGAAGGAAGGAAGGAAGGAAGGAAGGAATGGCACTTTTTCAAATGTTGTTAGTTATCTGCAAACAACTCTATTTTCTACTTCCAGCCTCAGTGTTCAGTTTTCAGTCTAGGCCTGGCCGCAGATGTAATTCCAGGAAATTCACCCCAGCTAGCAAACGTTTTCAAATCTTCTACCTTGAATAGACAGGACGGCTCTTTTTCAAAACTTGAAAATAAAAACAGCGGTCATCCGGGAATCCCCGTGGTGGAAGAAATGGTTCGAAAAACCACAGCTGGCTGTAAAAGGCTGGTGAACGGAGGCAGGCAGCTGCTAATACTGTAACTTCTAACTCAGCTCTATAGTGCAACTTTTCTAAATGTAATTTCAGTAACACAAGTAAAAACTAACGGGGAATTGGAGCTCGTTGCTGGCAGCCTGCCCCCCCGCCCGCCCATCCGGTGTCTCTTGAGAGTTTTGCCCCCAAGTTTTCAACGCTTTGAATTGCAAAGTTGTTTGCACTGTACAGCGGTCTCACAATTTCCAGCCAAAATGGAGAGCAGCGAACTTGAAAATAACTCTGGGTCTGAATCTATAACTAGGTCATTCTCCTCCAAGTGAATGGCGCCTTTGTGCACCCATTGCTGACCTACTTTTGTAACCCGATCATCTACTGTGGTCAGGGATCCTCTTTCTCCAACTTCTCCTCCTTTCTGAAGGAATCTTGTTCCCAAAGTTCTCCTTTGCAGCTCAATCAGTCCTCTGTGTGTGTGTGTGTGTATCAGATGGCTATCAATTCCTAATGCAAGACCCTTTATCCATCCTAGGCCTCTAATTCAAGTCCCCCAAAGGCTACTGTTGAGTATCTCACTGCTGTTTCATGAGGCTATGAATGGTCAAAGTGGGGGGGGGGGGGGTGTTCGTTTTTTGGGGGGGGGGGCAGCAAGGCTGAGTCAATATTATTTTAAAGCAGGGGTGAGGGGCCAAATGGCACTCAAGTTAGAAGGCATTTCCATGCGTGGAAGATGTTTGCCTCTGGCTGTTCCTTTTAGCAGGGAGAGATCTTGGCAGTTATTATTTTGTTCCTGGTGGTCAAAAAATCCCTCTCCTCTATATTCTGGCCTTCGAACCGTCACAAAGATAAATAACAAAGAAGCATAATTCACTACAGTCTACTCTAATGATAGGGCTGGCCCTGCTGGGGAGAAACAGCCATGGGAAGGCTATTGATTTTACACACTTCTAGAAGCAGCTGTATGACTGAGAAGTAAGCAAATCTGATTCCTCTTTTCCTTTCCTACTTTAGGTATACAGGTAGTCCTCACTTAACAACCATTCATTTAGTGACTGTTTGAAGTTACAACGGTGCTGAACAAAGGGACTTAAAACCAGTTCTCGCACTTAAAACCATTGCAGCACCTCCACGGTCATGTGACCACAAACTGGACACTTGGCAACCAGCTCACACAACAGTTGCAGTGTCCTGGGGTCACGTGATCACTGTTTGCAACCTTCCCGGCCAGCTTCTGGCAAGCAAAATCAATGGAGAACCGTGTGATTCACTTAATGACCATGTGATTTGCTTAATGATCATGGTGATGCACTTAATGACCACTGTAAAAAAGGCCATAAAATTGGGTGCAACTCACTTAACTGCCCCCTTAACAAAAAATGTTCCGGTCCCTCTTGTGATTGTTAAGTGAGGACTACCTGTAGTTTAAGTTAATGGCTGACAACAGCTGGCTGCAAGGATTATATTAAATTCTTCCAATAACCATTAATGACTTAAACAATTAATCTTGAGATGATTGAAGCACTTGCTTGGCCACTGTAAGGAAAAGGACCTCAAAGGAGGAAGAATATAGTCCAATCCAATTTCTTAACACCTTACAAATGGTTGCAGCCCAACCAGTATGGTTTGTGAACTGTGGCTCATAGCTTATTCTGTTGTGTAGACCCCAGTTATTCAATAACCCATGGTAAAACAAGCTATGGCTTCATGCAATATGCAGTTCAACTATTGTGATTTAATCCATACACCATGCCTTTCTTTCTCTCTCTCTGTGGTGGTGGGTGTCTGACATTCCCCATCAACACACTGTCCCCTAAACTAGGCAAGCTTTGCACAGCGCACTAGATTCAACTGAGGTTAGCTTGTTGGTGATTCAGTGTGTCATGCAAACAGCGTCAATACTGGGTTTCCAAGATTTTGAAAGCAACGGAGATAATCCACAGGCCAAGGAACCCTGAAAAATACGTCATCAGGCCTGGGGGTCTTTGGGAACTGGAGACATTCTTAGATGGCTCCACTATGACTGATATTCTGTTTTCTCCGTGCAGTTTGTATCTTTTAAAATTTAAATTTTTTAAACTTGTTGATGTCGTATTTGAATAATCACTTTTCATCTTTTATAATGATTGTTTTTAATCTCTTTGTTATTTTATTTGTTGTACGCCACCCAGCGTCGTTTTGTGTGAGACGGGCGGCTATATAAATGTGATGAATCAAAAAATTAATTAATTCATTACAAATTCTGTTTCGGAGGAGCAGTTTTCTAGTGACATTCCTGTGGCCAAATGAATGTTGCAGGCAGAATGGGAGGAAGTCCAGCCACTCCTTTTGAGAGAGCCGGAACCAGGGGCACCCACCAGCTGCACTCCATCCTTCATCAGCCTTTGATATAAAAAGCTCTTCCTTCAATAAAAAAGCTCTTTTTGTCTCCCTGCACAGCACCTGCTTTTCAATCCTGCACCTTTATTTTCAGGTGGGGAGGGAGGGCAAACAAAGCCCTCATTCATTCAGCCTGCTTGCTGCTGCGTTGGCCGATCCAAAGGAAACGGAGGAACCATTTCTCTGGAGTGGGGCTGACTCGGCCCTCGCCTTCAACAGGGTTCTGCTTCTAGGCAGACGTCCCGAAGCCAGGAGGAGGAAGACCAGCCTTCTTTTCAGATTGCTACTACGATTATTCCGCTGAATGCAGTACTGCAGCTAATTGCCATCAACCAACAGTGGAGTATGCGGCATTTGGTCAGGAACTGAGGTACAGGGAGTCCCCGGGTTAAGGATGCCCGGTTTACTGTCGACCCATAGTTAAGAACGGAGCCTACTGTAGCGAAATTTGAGTTCAATGCATAACGATTCAAGTTAAATATACAATGGTTCGAGTTCATTACACAATACTACTTATACAGTATTATACGATGGCTGGCTGGGGAATTCTGGGAGTTGAAGTCCACCCAGCTTAAAAGTCACCAAGGTTGAAAAACACTGCTATAAAGCATACCAGGTTAGTGTTTCATCTCATTTTTAATCCAAATAAATATATCAATCAACACTATAAAGGCAACCAGAGCAGGGAGCCTGGTGGAGATTCAAAGGAGACCCTGCTGCTGTTCAAGCTTCCCACCCTCTACAGGCCAGCTCTATGCGCTTCTGTTGTTCCCATTTCCAAGATGATAGGACCGAGGTGCAGAAAAGGGAATGCCAATGAAGCAAGGGGAGCGGTTTGGAATTCTGGGAGTGCCACCCATCTGGGAGGAACCTCAGCAGCTGCAAGAAAGCTGGTCGAACTCACAAACCTGGTTAGGAAAAAGGCATTTCCTCGCCAGGGGATGTTAATATTTGCCGTCAAATAACTTCCTATATTTCCCTCTCATTGGCCTCTATAGCCAACCCATTTCTTTCTTGCCTCCCTCAGGGAAAAAGTACAGCATCCATATGAAATTTTCCTGAGCTCTGCAAAATGCACCTTGCTGAAAAGTTGTGTGGTTGACACCAATATGTTTAATTCCCCATTAGTTACATCTCTACCCTACCTTTGATTTGGGAGATCAAGGTGGCAGACCCAACAGACCACCTTCTCCTTTTCCTCACCACAGCAGCCCTGGGAGGGTGCCCAGAGTCCAGAGTCTCCTACGGTGCTTTCATGGCCGAGGGGGGACTCCAACCTGGAGCTGGGTAACCCTTTATCTCGCCACGCCAGACAAGCTCCTGTTCTCCTCTCCCTCCTCCTTGACTTCCATTCCAGATGACTCACCCCCAGCCTGGAAGGTCCGGCCGGTCCAGTTCAAATTCCACACGGAAGAGGATGAGTTCAGGTAAAAACATGCAACCCAGCATGGAAAATGCCTGCCCTTGCTCCAAGGAAATCATAGAAGATTTTACCCATTATTTCTTGTACTGCCCTATTTCCGCTTCAGCCCGTGGAAGAAATTCAGGAGCATGCTGGCCGGGGAATTCTGGGAGTTGAAGTCCACCCATCTGAGAGTTGCTGAGGTTGGACGTCACTGAACTGGACTGCTGGGTAATAGATCTGGCTGTTCATAAGGGGAAGTGATCAATGGGAAGTTAATGATTTCTGTGCGTACAGCCCAACAGCACGCGGATCAGCCACGTTGCACAGCAGGGCGGGGCCTTCAAAGTTGAGTAAGCTGCCCAAAGGGTAACGAAGAAGTTGCATTGCTTTCCAGGAAAAAGGCATTGTGCGTGGTTGAGTCTATTCAGGGAGAGCCTCTTCGTAGACCAAAGAATAGGAATTAGCAAAAGAGAGAAATCCGTTTGTTGGGAAATCTTGACTGTTGCAATTTCAAACCAATACACAGGCCCAAACATGTCTCAAGTCACAGTTCTCCAAATTTTGCAACCCGAGGTGTTTGTTCGAAAGAACAGTAGGGAAACGCCTACATAGAAACACTTAGATTTGTGACAATTGGACAGACAGTCATTACATTAAGAACGTGGATTTGCAAAGCATGCGTAAAGCAGAAAAGCAGCAAACAGAAAGGCCTGCGTTTGGAGAACTCATATCAACTCTACTGCAAGCTTTAAAAACAATTTCTAAGTTTGACAATTGAGTTTAACTGACATACAACAATGAGAAACTGGGGGGAAGCTGAAATTGACAGATGTATAAAACAAGACACTAAAGTTCGCTGGTTGGCCCATTTACATGTAGGCCCCATGCTTGCAAAACTCATGGTCCTTTGGGGCCGCTTGTTCCCCCATTATCCATGAAGAGGCCTGCCTCTTTATAGGATCATAGGATGGCTGTTAGACAATCAAAAAGTCTCCACCAACAAAGAACATCTTCTCAAAGAAAACTGAAAAACTCAGCCATCCTTGCAGAGCAAAGGGAATTTCCTGAATTAATCCCGGTGGGGTTTCCTAAATTCCAGGAAACAACCACCAACTAACGTGACGAAAAATAAACAAATAAATAAATGGGAGTGTCAGCCTTACCAGGTAGACCAGACAGGAAACACAACCAGATGAGCTAATTCTACTTTATTGTAAGGCTACGTTAACAGAATCTTGCAAGCCTGAAAGTACAATTCTCCTGCGTCTTTTTACAGCCCAAGAAACTAGGGAGGGTCCCTTCTGAGCCTCTTGCCCCAACCACTATCCAGCACAGGCTATGTCCTCTCTTATCTGACTGATCCCTAGGCAGTGTTTCTTGGCCCTGTCTCCCAAGGTCTTTCCCACATGCCATTACATCATCCTCGACCTGTTCACACAGCTCTCTTGTTTCTTTCCTGCCTGAAGGAGGTGATGGCGGTCAATTTTGATATACTGCAGCGCAACAGGGGCTTCCAATTCCCCCCAACGCTACACGAATGCTGCAGCCATGCCACTGAGACGAGAACAACAGATTCTACACTGATCCACACCAGGGTTGCCATCAAACAGAAAGAGGCACTTACTTTGCGCAACTGATCTGGAGGAGCGGGGCAAAGCGGTAGCCAAGGCTGAAGACCAAGCTCTGCCTCCCACCTTCTGCTTCTGGCACAGCAGCCAATGATGTCCTATCCCACCAAGAGAAGATTCAGTGGCCGCTCTGATAGGTTCCCAATGCAGCAGGAGGAGCAGAAGGTGTCTTCTTGGCTTCAACTCAGGCAGAAACTGTCTTGAACTGGCCTTGAACATCCACTATTTGCAATGTCACTCAAGTGCCACTTTCCTCACACACCTGGCCTCCGCTGCAGGTAAGCAGAGCTGGTCTGGGGGCCCCCAGTGTTCGGTAGCTCAGGAGTCAAAATGGGTTTTCCGTTCAACCATTACAACCGAAGGGCAAGCTGTCAGGAGAGCTGAGATGAAGACCTCACCAGAGCGGGGACTAAGGCCTGTGAAGGCGTCAACAGGAGGAAGGGAAGCAAAGAAACAGGAGCTCAGAGAAAAGGATGAGATAAATTTAAAAAAAGGACCAGGAGAACGAAGAACAGCAAAGGGCCCCAATATTCTATGGCTTAACAATAATGTGGCTTCTCCCCTATAAATAAGGCAACTACCGTGCAGAAAGGCAATACATTTTGGAAAAATCGGAGGTGGTGTTTTGTGTGAAGGGATCAAGAACCAAAAATGCCAAAACACCAAAGCTTTTGAAAGGCTGGTCTATGAAATATGCCAAGGATACATAGAGGAATATCTATCTTCTTCAGTACAGCAAACACTCAACGTGTCTGAATGTTGACTTCTCCAAAGATCAGTATAAGTGTCACTTTACATTGATTAAATAGGCCTCCAGGAACAGACTTGGCAACCAAAATATCCCCACTGTGGTCGTTTAGTTGCATCAAGTGAAAAAGATGAACCAAACGATGAAGTGCAAAACGCTGTAAATTAATTCTTGAGTAGGTACAATCAGGCCCGGTGAGCAAGCATGAGGTTTAAAGACGGATCTCTTCTGCCATCACTAACCTAGATACTATAGAACAGGGTTTGTCAACGTTATCAACTTTAAGATGTGTGGACTTCAACTCTCAGAATTCCCCAGCCAGCATG